TGGACTTGAATTCTTCAGCGATCGTATCACCTACATTACTCACGGGTGACACAGAATTCTGTACTCAAATCTTGGCTCACCTGTACGATCATATCAACGACATTGATACTTATTCTTGTCCTAGCATCCTTCGAACCGTGAGGTGAAACGTTTCCACAATATCGTTCAAAACCTAGTTTGGGAGAATCGGGAGGACTAACTTCCTTGAATACCTGAGAGCCTCGAAGTCCGCTGCCCGTTATTGCTATATTCGGGAACCCGTATAGGTCAGGGTCGAGCGTTTATCTGAGGTAATTGGATGCTGATGGGTGATCCGGCTCAATCTCTTCAATAAGCGAAGCTGCTAACAGGTAGTATAGGTCATCCGTTAGACAAGAATGGAGAGCGAACTTTACATGTTCCACCGGCAGTGCAGACAGAGCCGAAGCAGATGGGAGATTGGGGATCCGTAAAGATTGACAGAAAGGATCTACGCCGTAACGGCGAGATCGGCACGTAGACGACGTACCCCTCCAACGGTTGGAGGGATACTGTGAAGGCGATATCAAACTTCGACAGTCGAAGTCAGGTCCGGGTATGTTGACCCGGGGAAAGAAGACAGTACGGGAGCATATTGAGGAGATTAGTAGAGCTCCTCGTTATAAGCTTTAAGGGGAGCGTGCTGGATCGAGTCTGTGTGCGTGAAGATGAGTTTGCGTTCATGAAGATGAGTTCGCGTGCAAGGCTTTATCCATAGACTTCACACCGTATTATCAAGAGTCTGATGGATCGAGTATAACTGTGCTATAGTTCTACCATTATCTGAGTTATCTCAGTTCCTCGTATATCTATCTTCGATCGGTTCAGTTAGAGATCGGTTCTATCGACCTTCGGCTTAACTGTCTTGACTTACCTCCGTCTTATATTCGTGATATCGATCGACAATAGCTAAATACCCTACAACCTGCTAGTGCCACTACCGTACCACTGAGCTAGCTAGTATACACAAGAGCTGGAGTCGAGTCGATTCATCTAGCAGTGATTATAGCAGTGAGATATCGATTTTGGTACAATTTTGCCATAAAGTAGAGTATAATAGTGCCACTGGTAGGTTATATTATTTTTAGGAGCCCCTCTGCTCTACGAATATCGATCAACTCGCGTACTTAAAGCGAGACGCTACGAATGAATAAGATTCCGGACGCACTTGCCTAGATCTCCTACGCAACTTACACCAGTAGATCAAAGTAATATCAAAAGGCAAATAACGAAGCACAAAGGAGTCTAGACAGACAGGGTCACAATTGGAGACGACTTCCCAGGTCGTGGTAGTGGTACTTCCACGCCCCTTAGGGTGGCATAGCTGCCCCAGATGGAGATATCGTCTGTATTATGGCATACCTTGGGGTGGCATAGCTGCCTTAGATGGAGAAATCGGCTGCATTGTAGCATACTCTGGGGTGGCATACCTGCCCCAGATGGGGAAATCGGCTGCATTATAGCATACTCTGGGATGGCATAGCTGCCCCAAATGGAGAAATCAGCTGCATTATGGTATACCTTGGAGTGGCATAGCTGCCCTCGATAGAGCGATAGGCTCCATTAAGGCATATCTTGGGGTGACATAGCCGCCCCAGATGAAGATCCCCGTCACGAACAATTTATTGACATTCGAACAGGTGTTCAGGGCCATGCTTAACACATCAGGTCGCATGAGAGCTATTCTTTTGAACGAAGTTCTCGGCGACTGGGGCCGCTATGCCAGACCATCAGAAGTTGATATGCACGGGAACCTGAAGATTAGCGTTGACACGTCCTAACGCGCGTTACTCACAGTAAAGTCCGAATGCGCTTCTCACCGAAACTCGCCAAGGAATAGCTCAAACTTTGAGCCTCAAAGATAGAGTGGATATTTTGAAGACTCATTGTTGCATACTACGCCTCATTGGGCGACGACAGTGCCCTTGGATTGCGACACGTTCTGAGATCAATGCAGTGACACTGCGAAGATGCATGTGGAAGAGGCTTTGTGTTACGCGCATTGAACCATTTTTGAGAGATCCATGTACCAATGATTGTGCAAGCAATTGCGCAACAATAGTGATGCGACGAAAACTCCAACCGAACGAGAATCTCGCAACTAGTCTATAGTTGAGAATGTGGGTGATGATCCGCTAACTCTGAACTCTCGGTCAACATGTTTTATATCTTTTTAGGAAGTTCTTGATATTTGACATGCTATCCTTTTTATTCATTTTAACACTCCTCGTCGTGTATACTCTCGCAACAGATGAAAGGACTCCACCATTGCCGTTCGAGTGTGATCAGTACTGCGATTTCTACGACCCCGGCTCCTACTGCAAGCATTGGCAAACTCCTCCTGTCTGCTTCAGAAGTGATATACCTTGCTACTGTGGTGATTTACCGACCAGCCAGAGACCGGTCGAAACTACCACTGAGTTTACGACCTCCCAGGAGCCAGTGACCACTACCGAGCCCGCGATTACCACTGAACCCACGATGACCACTGGACCCATGATCACCACTGAGCCGATGATCACCACTGAGCTCGTGATCACTACCGAAGCTGCGTCAACTACTGATTACGTGACAAGTACTGACTCGATGACTATCTCTAATACTATAAGCAGTACCCTGGCCGATACCACCGCCGAGATTGGAGCTAGAGGATGTGATCAATACTGTGAAAGCATTGCTCCTGGCAGCTTTTGTATGACTTATAAGTTGCCCAACGTCTGTTCGGCAACTGATGTGCCATGCAACTGTGACCTCTGATCTTCTCTCTCTTTGATAGTCTACATGCCTCAGACAAGATGACTTTGTTGATCTTTCCATCTGTTTTCTGATCAATTTCAGTCTTGTGTTTATAACATCAGTCATTCAATGTGTATATTCTAATGCTTATTATTGACACCTTACCTATAATGAGCTTAAGTTATTGGGTCTGTAGAGTTTTCTCGGATTCGACGCGAATGCAATATTGCTGACTCATCTTCACTCCAGCATAGTCGCACTTATCCTTCTCATTATTCTCAGCGACAGAGAATCTCAGGAGATACGTCAATGGGAAATATCTCTATTCGATAGGGATTAGTGGTTTATTATCACTCATCCTAGAAAAATTTCGCGATGCACGTAGTCACTTACAGATAAAAAATCAGAAAAAGTCCTCCACAGGCATCCCAGCATGAGACTTCTACGCGAGGCGCATTGGCAATACCAGGTCTTAGCTGTTGCTGAGGCAACAGCAGACATGCTGGCGGCCGACAGTCGGCCTCAATCTATTCCCTCCTATTGTAGGAGGGAAAAGATTGAAGCTCAACGCGTGATCCAAGCAATTCACTTAGTGTTGCTCAGTAAGCGACAGTGTGGGATAGACTATGTTCGCTTTCCCTAAGGGTTCATATACGAAGGCGGCCAGAAGTGCCCAGAAACTAACAAGAATTTCCAAAATTTCCATTTTGTCACCGACACATTAGTTGACCATATGCCTATCGTCCGACACAGCTGAGCGACGTTGCGGCTAGTTCCATCGTTCACTGACTCTTGAACGGTCATTCTCTTGGAAGAGCTATCGATAACTAACTCTTGTGCAACCCAACATTCACTCCTTTGGTGACTAAATATCAGAAGAAATCGGAAAATCAAATTCCAAGTGTGAACCACCGAAGGAGGTAAGATGTTTGGCGCATGAAGAGCTCCGAAATTACGAACCTCATGATATGCTTCACAGAACAGAATCGTTAATCGTACGCATCGCAGACTCAACCCGTAGTTTCACGGGCTCTCAACAAGTCCGATCAGGAATATACTAAAGAGGAAGTCAACTGATATATCACGATCGTAGCACGATTCGAACGATATACCTGTGAACTTCACAGTTCACATATGTTCACGAGGAGGACAGAGTCGGAAAATACCATCACGAGCAAACGAACCTATGAAGACTGACGGATTGAGTGAAAAAACGTGGGAAGACTGACGGACTGACTGTGCCAACAGATTGACATAGCACATAGAGAGAAGGACGCCACTTCGAGATGGGATACTCCAGAATGATGATCTGGAGGTGAGCTCTTCGAGATGACCATCACTTCTTATACATGCATATAGCACCGAAGTCCCCCATGTTATAGCCGTACATGCCTGATGGGCATCCCTGAAATTCTCAAACAATAATCCACAAAGTGAAGTTGGCATTGTCAACTCGGCAACATCATCATCACTCACGGGGTTAGGCACGACGAAGCACCGCCCTGATCGACACTCAGTCCGACCCAGTGCGGAGGCCGGGCAACTTCCCCCTTTTCCTCCCAACAGTCTGATGCTATCATCAGCTTCTCTCAAAGTCCTTCTACCGCATGATGGAGCACAGACGAATGCCAATACTTTCCCTCCGTCCTGGGAAGAATATTTCATCACAGAAACGTCGAGGTGGGGGTTTACAATGCCACCAACAGCATCTTCGCCTCCTTGGCAGTAACAGTAAAAGAGCATGGTCCCGCTGGCTGTACACGAACCACTGGGGCGCTCGTACAATGGACCTGAGGCTCATCAATTATAACGCCCTTCAGTTGGAGCATCCCACTCGAAACAGCTAAGCTTTCGTATTCTCCCACGGTGGCATACCTATCGAGAAAGGATTGTTGCAAGCAAAGGAGTAGGAGAACTCACGGATCATTTGATATAGCCAACGATAGGGCGGTTTCATCATAAGCACAGCTACCGATGAATAGAGAAGCGATGAGAGTCAAGGAGTGGAGCATTGGGATGATTAAAGTAATCAACTCGCCTGATGAGTCTTATATTATCGGGCGACTACTTGGCTTTGTTGATCGATACAGTTGTAACCCGGACAATAAGCAGGGAGTGCGCTCAGAACATAGTTCCGTGCGGAATATGAAGAGTGAATCGGCTTTGCCGGTACCAACCCTTCCTGCAGCCAAGGGTCACTCTCCGGGGGAAGCTGTCGATGCAGTCAAACCAGTGAGTGCCGTGCAAATCAACAGTCTTACCAGTAAAGCAGAAAAATGATGATGATTGAAAAAATCGGAGATTGAAACCCAAGTACGTACTCCTAAGCTACTCAGAATATTCGAAGCATTAACTTAGATAATAGGAATTGCGTAATAGGTTATACATATCAAAGTCGTAGATCGGATGCAGCACAGACATAACTTGTCTCTATCTTTCCTCAACAAATGGGACAATCTCGCGTACAAAAAAAGAGATAGTTTATCCCCATTTGAAGCCTATGAGGGCTGAAAAACTGAGTGGATATCCATGTCGTGCAGCACACAGAGTGATTGTGTATTGTAAAAATGGATTGACAGATCACATCGTAAAAAAGGGCGTCACTTGAAGATGGTAACACCCGAAGATGGTGTTCGAGGTGATCTTCACTTCTTATACATGCATATAGTGCCGTATTCCCCCATGGCGACGGCGAGCATAGGAGGTAGACATTTCTAAGATGGATGAGAATCTCAGCTCATGAAATCATCAGCATCACTATCACTCACGGGGTTGGGCGTAACGCAGCAACGCCCTGATCGACATGCAGTCGGGCCAAGTGAGGAGGAGTGGCAAACTCCTCCATGATGTCCTCCTAGAGCTCCCACGCCATCAGCTTCTCTTAAAATTCTTCTACCGCATGTTAGCCCACAGACGAATACCACCACGTTCGTGCCATTCTGAGAAGAACGCTTCACTGCGAGAAATATCGAGATATATTCGTACTAAGCCGACGATAGCTACTTCGGCTCTCGTGCTGCAACGGCAATCATGAAGCACGCCTCCGCTAACTGTACACGAACCAACGGGGCGTTCATACAATGACGGATCACCTATCATAATATGATAATCATATCTTCATTTAGTTGGAGCCTCTCACCCAATGCTGTTAAGCTCTTGTAATTCTCCATGCTGTTATACCTACCGAAAACAGAATGCCGTAAAAACGAGTGGGAGAACTCACGGAACGTCATTTGATATAGCCAACGACAGATCAGCTTCATCATGAGCACAGCTGCCGATGAACAGAGCAGCAATGAGGGTTAGAGAGTGTAGCATAATAACGGTCAGATTACTTTACTTGACTGATTAATATTCTATAATGAGCTCCTTCTATGCTACAACGAAATCGATCGCGTCACGAGTGCGGGCCACGTCGCACGTATGAACTTGTGCGCCATCTTGGCACGCCGAATGCGATGACTGGAAGATATACTCGTCTTCCCTAGGTGAGCCAGCAGAAAAGATGATGATATAAGGTGAGGGTATAAGGCACTGAGGTCACAGATCGTCAAACACGCCATTTAACGCCGTGGATTTGGTATTTATAAAGACAGCATCAGGAGACAACGATGCAGACAACAAGCGTGAAACGGTGCGCCGAGGCTAGAAAGTGGGACATTTAGGGCTCGAGCTCTCAGGATTCGGATGGGTAATGGGAAGGCAACAATACATAACTACCAAAATTTGTGATGCGGGAGTACAACCTGACGAACAGAGAATCTTGCTCGGCATTGGAGGAGTAGGATTGAGCTATCAGCCTCACAGGGTGTTCACACCCTGGATCCACAGGAGTTCTGCACGCATGTGCAGTTGGACGTGTTGATCTGCTATGCGATCGCTGGAAGGGCAATTTGTGCCCTGAGCTCTCTAACGAACCCCAGGGAACAGTAGTCTTCACTACACCATTTCCCGCGCAAGTTTGACAAGTGAGTAGACAAGAATGACAATGTTACCATCAAGAGTGACAATGAGAATCCAAGTTTGTCACAATTGAAATCTGTTACAAGCAAGTTTGACTTTGAGAAATCAAGTAAGTCACAATCGAGATATGTTACCATCAACTTGAGTTCTCTTGATGGCATCAAGATTGACAATGAAAATCCAAGTTTGTCAAAGTTCAATTATGTAACAATCAAGATTGACAGTGAGAATCCATGTTTGACACTTGTTTCCTCACCTACAACCAAGTTTGACACTGTCAAATTGACAGTGAGAATTCATGTTTGACTGCGTATTGTCAAACTTGTATGGTTTATTGTCATTCTTGATTGTGATATATTCTGCCGGTGTCAAACATGAATTCTCACTGTCAAACTTGGTTGTAACATGATTGAATTTTGACAAACTTGGATTTTCATTGTCAATCTTGATGGTAACATATCTCGATTGTGACATACTTGAATTCTCAAAGTCAAACTTGATTGTAACAGATTTCAATTGTGACAAACTTGGATTCTCATTGTCACTCTTGATGGTAACATTGTCATTCTTGTCTGCTCACTCGTCAAACTTGCACGGGAAATGGTGTAGTTGGTTGGGAGGAAATGTGGACAACGAGATGCGTTATCTCGTCTTCCACTGTGGTGAGTGTCAGAGGTAACTCTCCACCGAAGCTAATCCAGGCACAAAAAACATATTATATATGCGTTCGACCGTGTGGAGGTATAACTGATTGCTCGAGGGTGCAGGTTACATCAATGGGGCAAGGATAATCATTCACAGTTACTCCTACTTGAGAGATGAACGTAGATGCAGCATTTTGAACGCTATGGTTACAGTGGCGCACACAGTGTGGGTCGGCTAATGGAGCATAATGCTTTGGCTACGGCATAAGAATATTATTGACAATAGTTGTGTCGACCACCACAAAACGTAAGAACTTTTAAGTTTAACATCATGCTTGAGCGTTTATTGTCAAACTTTTGCGTTTATTGCCAAACTTAAACGTGTATTGACAAACTGATCGTTTATTGACAAAGTTGAATGTCACTCTGGCAAACGTGAATGTAACATCTGAGAAGGTGTCAATTTGACACTGTCGAACTTGTGTAGCTTGGTTACGACTGGCTCTGTGGCGAGTGAATTGACGTGATCGATGTGCGGTTGCGGCAAATAGAATTGGCGAAGGAGTCCGAAGTCACGGAGTCTGCCCTGAGATCAGCATTTGGCAAGTTCTTCGACCCCATGGGTCTTTTCGCGGAAGTGTCCTTGGAGCTCAGATGGTCGGCTCGGCTGGCTCATGAGCGAGTGAAACAGAGGAGGAAGGACTTCGGAGACGGTACCGACATTGTGGACGAGGAGACGGCATCTATTATATTGAGTACCATTACTGCATGTAACTCATTCCTGCAATCTGATTGTATTCTCCACCCTCGCTATCTTTATGTGTCTACCTTATTTGTTTTCGTCGATGCCTCTGAGGCCTGCATTGCTATTGATATTCGAGTCGGCCCGGGTGCGCGTCTCCCCGCTAACTTTAGTGTGACTCCGGGAGGCACGATTCCCAGGAGAGAATTGGAAGCAATGCGCCTCGGTGTTGAGCAGTTGTATAGCATTGTCATGGCATCGAGATCCAAAGTCACGAGGTCTGTCATCCTCGGTGATAGTAGTATTACATTATTCCGTTTGAGAGCAGTCTTACCAGGCCACGGCCAGAAGGTGTGCTCACGATTGCCTGAGCCAGAGCTTACTAGGTTACTCGCAATTAAGTCTACATGTTCTGATATTATTGAATGTCGTCCTAATATTGATTTGCAATTTCGTCATATCCCTTCTCAATATAATGTTTCTGATCGGTTGACGAGACCGCTTGGCACACCATTGAGAGATGATTCCCCTTCGTGGAAACAAGTAATTCAAGTCATTGATGCTGACTCGATTGTCTCCTTTGATAAATCAGTCATCAATGGTCCCGAATTTCGGACATACGAGAGTTGGAGGAGATAACAGAATATAGTCTTAGACGGGTCCACGGGGTTGAGCTTGAAAGGAGTTTCAGAGAGATAAAACAACCAGTGACAACTGGAGGAACGATGGCTAGCGGAGGTATGTGCTATAGGCGATAATACAGAAGAGTTGAGAGAAGTTCTTGCTTTCCAAGAACGCTCACAATGCTTATGATGGGTATCGGAAGAGAGACGGAACAGTTGTAAGCCAAAACTTGCAAGATATGTTGTTAAACGGAAAGTTTGTTGAGTCTGAATGTTTATATTGGGAATTGGTGAGGGGAGGCTTGAATAGGCAGCGTCCAGAGCTCCAAAACCTTGAACGGATGGAGGTCGTTCAATCGAGTACAGTTCTGGACGATTGTCTATTCTTGCAGCGTGCCACTATCGACGGCACCTGCTGAGTTCGGACGGCTGACGAGCCGTTATACAAATTGAAAGCTGAGGTTTCATAATTGTCGATAGCGCGCGCCCGATTCCCAACACCAATGACAGTTTCGAATCTCACGGGTTGGAAAGTTGAGTTTCGAGGGTGGGGTTTGTCGATTATGTAGTGCAGCTTTGACGGCCTTAGAAGGGTCGAGTTAGGTCTGCCGGGCCGGATATTCGCCTCTACCCTGAACAAACACCTTGTTTTCGAGTGCCTCAATTGTTGGGTATTATACACTCATGCACTCGAGCAGTGTGGTAAAATATGTACATGCTCCATCACATGTGTTGGTGAGAATATGAAAATTCTGATGAAATTTTGGAGGATCCTTGTTAGTTTCAATACACTTATCGTATATACTCTTCCAAGTCGTATGTGAAATTCTATGATTAGTGAGGAAGCTATTGAGCTCAGCTGAGGAGAGCGAACATTTCTTTGCAGCACTGCACTCGAGTGCTGAGATTAAAAGTGTTGAATCTTCAATAGTGAATTAAATAGAAATTAATGTGGTGATCTCAGCTGAGATCTTCTAGGTTCGTATCCTCATTTTGTATTATTTCACTTCCATTCATATCTTCAGCTAATAGCACAAGCTGCGCTAGTCGTTGATGATGTAAGAGGAGTTATAGGATTAGATTCCACTTATTTCCTACGGGTTTGGTTCATCAATACTCACGACAATTAATAGTAAATTAAATGTTGGAGTTTTACGTGTAGTGAAAAACGCGATATTCAACGCGGTAGTCGTGAAATATATTTCCCACCAGTGTTTTTCATATCACTAGGGCCGCCCGTGAAACTCCATTAAAATCATTATATTCTTCCTCATTGTTGTTTATCAATGGTTACTACTAAGCCTTTCTCGACACAAACAGTTGCTCAGATACGATTCCTATGCCCTAATAGTAATAACAATTACGTCGTGCTCGCTTTTATTATAGGGGGAATATTTTTGGAAAAATAACAGTGTTGGAGTAGGAATATATGTAATCGCTTTCCTCAGCTGCTGAGCTCAGGAGTTTCCTATACAGTGTTGGAGTAGGAATATATGTAATCGCTTTCCTCAGCTGCTGAGCTCAGGAGTTTCCTATACAGTGTTGGAGTAGGAATATATGTAATCGCTTTCCTCAGCTGCTGAGCTCAGGAGTTTCCTATACAGTGTTGGAGTAGGAATATACGTAATCGCTTTCCTCAGCTGCTGAGCTGAGTATAATTTCCGAAATTTTATCCGAAAAATTTTTCTGCGTATTTTCCCTACACAGTGGTGAATAATTCACTAATTGCAAGGTTCTGATAAGGAGATAGAGGCGGCCCTTTATAAATACAACGGCGATGAGAATATGGCAGTTAATGAGTTACTCAATCAACGGGAACGATCATCGGCTCGAAATTAGTGAGTTTGAAGGCATTTCATATTTCCGGTTAAATCTTGGACGATGCGTGCGCGTGGCATGAGCAGAAATACTAATACGCCTGCCCGTTTCGGGGGAATTTAACTTGTTGGGTATTTCATATTTTTGATATACTCTTTAGTAAGTGAGTTTCACGTGAAGTGGTGTGATAATATTGGGGTTTCACAACCCGTTTTACGTGAAGTGGCGTCGTAAAACTCGGTGAAAAACGCGATATTCGCGGTGATATGCAGTAGTCGTGGAATATGTTTTTCACTAGTGTTCACGATTGTGTTATCGGCGGTCGCGGAAAAACATATTTACGCCACTTCACGTAAAACGGGTCATGAAACTTCACTGTTGTTAGAATCGGCAGTTTATATATGTATTTACTTTTGTTTAGTTATCAAAACTCTGGTGATCAACCACATATTGGAAGCACACCGCTACAGGGCACTGTGGTAGTATGGTGAAAAATATGATTATATTTTTGTGATTTTAGTGAAGTTTTATTACTACACTATTTGAGCGTTGAGCCATTTTTTTGATAAATTTATATAGAATTTACTAAAAAATTCAGTGAAATTTTGAAAATTTATATGAAAATTAGGAAATCTAGTAAATTCGTGGCACTACTACTATTACTAGTAGTAGTAGTAGTAGTAGTAGTAGTAGTAGTAGTAGTAGTAGTAGTAGTAGTGCTACTATGGATTTGTTTATATATATAAAAGGTTCCACAACGAGAAACCACAAGAACGGCTCAAGTCCAGTGTGGATCGTGTCAACGAGTTCTGACAGTGCAGATGACTGCGATGAGTAATACGATGGTGTTTCGACCGATTTGAAGGATTTACGGTATGGGAATGCTACTTATTGTTGGAGAGAAGTGAAATTTTTTTAATAGTAAAAAATTCTTATTTCGAAATTATTATTTGGGTATTTTTTAGTCTTCCAAATTTTTACGATATTTGATGTTGTAGATATTTTTAAAATATGTGTTCGCTTTCCTCAGCTGCTGAGCTCGAAAGTTTACTCACTAGAAATAGGAGTTTATATACGAGCCGGGGAAATATATAGGAAACGTGTAGGGAAACTAACAAGAATTTTTCTCGTATGTCATCGGATTTTGTATATTCAATAGCATATTAATGGAGTTTCTTCACTCTAGTAGTGGTATGAAAAAACAGCAGTGAAAAACATATTTCACGACTACTGCATATCACTGCGAATATCGCGTTTTCCACTTGACACGTAAAACGGGTAATCGTGAAACTTTAAAAAAAACATTTTTTTCGTATTTTAATATATATAAAACCTGTTGTTGTACAAGTAAATTCAAATATATGAGTTTCCATATTGTCACCACCAACACATGTGGTTGACTATGTGCATATTCCCCACCATACTGGTGATGCATTTCGTTATTCATTGTGAACATAAGTGAGAGTATTTTGTCAGCAAATGCGAATTCTCATACGCTCATATTTACTCTCATTGTGGTCTACACCTTTTTTGAGGAATTGGCAGACATTTTTTTTCGTAAAAAATTGCATTTTTCCCATTTAGTGGTGGCATAGTGTCGAAGTAGTGGTAGTATGCTGATATGGTCGTTATTTATTTATCAATTTTGTAGACCGATATTAGTAGTGCTTCGTCTGGGTTGGTAATATTTGAAATTTTTCGCGTGTTCGCTTATGAAATAAGACGTTTCTTGAGTGCATGCCACTCATTTTTTTTGTTTTTTTCGGAAAATTTAACGAGTGTTCTTTTCATATCACTAGGGTCGTGAAACTATTGTTTTTGTTTTAGGAGATCTGTCGGTTACTGCTCGAGCGACTTGCCCACATTGTCAGATGTTAAACGAATTTATGATTCCAGCTGAACCTGTAATATCAAATTGAACAGTATTGGAGTATTGGGAATATATTTTTTTGTTATTCATGAAAATATATATTTGCTTTCCGCAACTGAGATCGTAAATTTTCTGACTATTTTATGAAAAATTTACTCTCAAAATTTTCATACACATGTAGTTGACCATGTTCACCACAGTCGTTGGAATATGTGTTCGCTTTCCTCATCTGAGTTTGCTGAATAACAGCCAGGAATTCTTACGGGAAACTTTTCGGAATTTTCATATTTTTTGTACGTTTTTTGGTGACAATCTGGAAATTTTGGGAAATTCTTGTTGGTTTTTGTAAATTCGTCTGTGAATTTTCGAGCTGAAGAGAGCGAGCATCTATTCCTCCATAGTTTTATATATCAGTTCTTTTTTTTCAGCAGTATGTCTGTGGACTCAGTTGCTCTGAAATTAGCGGCAAAAATGCGAAAACAAATTCTCATGTATAATGGAGTTTCTTGACCCTAGTGATATGAAAAACATTTTTCACGACTACTGCATATCACCGCGTTGAATATCGCGTTTTTCACGGCGAGTTTTACGACGCCACTTCACGTAAAACGGGTTGTGAAACTCCAACATATGTATAAATTCTACCAACACTATGAATATATCGTGCAGTGTGAGAGGAAATATGCACATGGTCAACCACATATGAAAATTCTGAAGAAATTTTTTGGAATTTCTCATCGGTATGTGTTGAGTTTTATGATAATTTATATATAAAATTGTATATTTCGTGAGAAAAGCGATCATATATTCCTCTAATGCTGACAATTTTATTGGAGTTTCTTCACCACACTAGTGATATGAAAAACATATTTCACGACTACTGCATATCACCGCGTTGAATATTGCACGTAAAAAGGATTGCTAAACTCCCTTATATAGATTCCCACGGCAACACCAATATCGGATGGACTACCGCAACAAGCGCCCCCTCCTAGTATGCAGGCTCAAGCGATGTATGGTTTACCGAGTAGCATGCAAATGCAGAAAACGAACCAGGTTGGAACTGCGGCGCCTTCACTGACGGGTAAAACTAGCTGGAGGGAATCTACTATGTGAAGTATATAATTTGTGTATAAACATATTTCATATTTGAAAAGCAAGTGAGTAGTGAATAACGCGTAAAACACGTGGTATGTGTTTTTTGCGTGATTTTTTCCGGTGTAATTCGCCACTTCATATCGCGTTTTTCACATGGAGTATTACGACGCCACTTCACGTAGTAAAACGGATAGTCGTGAAACTTCACTGAATTTTTTTTTACAGGATTTTTATTTTTTTCCTCTCAGGTGTACAAAGAGCGTTGCTGATTGGTATCAACTACTACAATACTCCTGCACAATTATCGGGGTGCATTCCCGATGTAAGATTTGGTTGTTATTAATGATAACTACCGCCGAAAAATAGATTTTCAAAAAGTTTTCATAGTATGCATTTTCGTATAGTGCGTGCGTGCAGAATTATCCTTGCTCAACTACGGATCAAACGACTGTTGGCGCAAAAATGTCGATTTTAGAGCGGCTCGAAGAGATATATATGCAGGAAAACATTGTTGATGGAAAAATGTCCAACCCGGGGATCGAACCGGGCTGGACATATGTGAAATCCATCGATTGAATCAACGCGGACTGGGCGAGCTCCGTCCCGAACCGTTTTACGATACTCCATGTGAAAAGTGAGATATTCGCGATGATATGCAGTAGTCGTGAAATGAGTTTTTTTCATATCACTAGGGTGAAGATACTCTAATGTATGTATATTTATTGAGTATTTAGGCACACAATATGTTTCGGTTGCTCACTGAAACGTATAGATGGAATCCTGGTGATATACGTATGATGACGGATGATGGACGCGCGGAAATGCCAACAAGTAGGAAGGGAAAGTATTCGGGTTTCTACAGATTTTTGTGGAAAAATGTGAAAATTTTGGGAAAATTTGGGAAAATTTTGTGGAATTTTACAGTTTTTTGTGGGAAAAAGTGAAAATTAAGAGGGAAATTTCAGAATTTTGCAGATTTTTGTGGAACAAATTTCCTCACAACTTTCTAATTTTTCCGATCTGTGCTGAAGTGGATGGAGTATTACACCACTTCATGTGAAACGAGTTAAACTCGAGCGATTTATATCATATTTAGGAGCGAATATAATAGGAGCTTTGCATTGGCTGGTGAGGGATGCTAAGCCTGGGGATGTATTCTTCTTTCATTACTCTGGTCATGGATCACAACAGGTAGGGTCTATGGGACTCTTGTTACTAGTGTTGTTGTTAGTGTTGCCGTTGTTGTTGTTGTTGTTGTTGTTGTTGTTGTTGTTGTGTATGTTGTTGTATATGTTGTTGTTTTTGTTGTTGTTGTTGTATATGTTGTTGTTGTTGTTGTTGTTGTTGTTGTTAGTGTTGCCGTTGTTGTTGTTGTTGTTGTTGTTGTTGTTGTTGTGTATGTTGTTGTATATGTTGTTGTTTTTGTTGTTGTTGTTGTATATGTTGTTGTTGTTGTTGTTGTTGTTGTATATGTTGTTGTTGTATATGTTGTTGTTGTATATGTTGTTGTTGTATATGTTGTTGTTGTTGTTGTTGTTGGTGTTGTTGTTGTTGTTGTACTACTCCCTAATTCTTCAGCCCGACCCCTACGGTATGGAGGAAGACGGAATGAACGAAACCATACTACCCTGTGATGTGAGTTAACACACATACCATAAAAGTGATAAAATACAATTCCGCTGACAGGTCCGTAGAGCTGGTATGATTTCTGATGATGAGATTTTCTCAATTCTGGTGGCACCCCTCCCCAGTGGTGTGAGATTGACAAGCGTTATGGATTGCTGTCATTCGGGAACAGGTATGGATGGTGTACAATGCAATCGATTACTCGGGCGCGCGCTAATTGCAACAACTACGTTGATATGAATACTTCTGTTTTGGCTAAATATAATCGTGCGTGAAATATTCACATTCTCATATTTCTTCTACAGTTCTCAATGATATGAAGTTCCGCCGTACTAAGTCGTTCCGCGGGTAACGTGCAAGTCGCGCTCGCCCAGTTGATCGATTATTATCGAAATCGCGCCCGCCACGAAATGCGCCTGCGTCGGACTCGAACAGATAGGACCTTCCGAAAAGGTTCCTAGCGAAGACTATTCTTCGTGTTGTTAATATATTCCCCATATTGGCAATGTGCATAACATTATATATAATCGTTCAAGTGGACTTGTGCATAAGTTTGGGTTTTTATATACTTTTGAAGGCTTTGAGCTACTTGAATGTGTATTAGAGTTTCGTACGAGGAGTGTATTCGAGTTTTACGTGAAGTGGCGTAATACTTAATGTGAAAAACGCGATATTCGCGGTGTTATGAAGTGAATTACATCGGACAAATGACCTCATTTTACGTAAAACGCTGGCAGCATTCCACGTGTTTTACGCGTTGTTAATTGCTCACATGCGTTTTCTGCGAAGTGAAATGTAAAATAATTTTTCTCATTAGTGTTTTTAACATCACGGGTGAGACTCCATTGTATAGAGTTAAGACGATTATGCTGATGTGTGAATTTTTCACGCACGATTATGTGGTTGTTGCTGTCGTTGTAGGTATGGATTTACCCTGGCGATGGATCGAACGTAGAGGATGGAAAGAGGAGACAAACCCGTGGCATTCACTAGGCGATGTAAGCATGATTTTGCACATCGTGAAACGCTTCGCTCCGCTAAGCTGGGATGTTCTTATGATTTTTATAGGCGCTCCTGGGGGTGTATTCGAAATTCCTCCTAGTTTATAACAGAAGTATCTTTTGTGTGTATGCGTGCAAATTGGAAGTGTTTAGGTTCAATTGTTTAGTGGTTGCGATGATGCGGGTACGTCAGCAGATGCGAGTGGTGGAAATATAAACGGCGGAGCGATGACAAGCGCATTTTGTGAGTTCGCGTTGGAGGAATATATATGGTCGCTTTCCTCAACAGCTGAGCTTAGGAGTATATATACGAAGTGCACAGAAAACTACAATGGAGTTTCTTGACCACCCTAGTGATATGAAAAACACTAGTGAAAAACATATTTCACGACTACTGCATATCACCGCGAATAAAATCGCGTTTTTCGGCCACTTCACGTAAAACGGGTGAAACTCCAGTGTTGGAGTAGGGAAATATAGTCGCTTTCCTCAGCAGCTGAGCTCAGGAATTTTCTCACTTACATCGAAGTGTACCAAAACCGATGAGAATTTTCCAATATCTCCTCTCAGAATTTTCATATTGCCACCCACATGTTGACCATGTGCGTATTTTCCCTAACACCTTATCATTAAATGATATTGATGATGTTGGTAGTATAATTTTTACTACAAAAACGAAGAAGAAATTCTCGAAAATTTTTCGTTAACACATCGTGTGTTAATTTATTAGTGAGAAAATTCTGAAGCTCACATGAAGTTGAACATATGCATATTTTTCCTAAACTGGAGTTTTATCCGTTTTACGTGAAGTGGCGTCGTAAAACTCGGTGAAAAACGCGATATTCGCGGTGATATGCAGTAGTCGTGAAATATGTTTTTCATATTACTAGGGTGGTGAAGAAACTCCAATGTTAGTGAGTATTCAGCAATTTCCTCTGGTGAATTCAGGTAATTCCATACGTGCGAGTCCATATATCAGCTACATTGATCTGATACATCGACTGAATGACGAGATGAGGAGGCGCAGGATGGGACAGAGACCTCAGCTGTCGAGCACGCAAGTGTTTCCTGTTGATAGGTGAACAATTAGATATGAATATATTGGAGTTTCACGACGAGTTTTACGCGAAAAAACGCTATGCAGTAGTCGTGAAATATGTTTTTCACTAGTGTTTTTTTCATATCAGTAGGGTGAACAAACTCCATAGTTAAATGATATTGTGATATGCAGATAGTGTTGGAGGAATAAATGTGTTGGCTCACTTCAGCTGAGCTCAGGAATGTGCAGAAACCAATAAGAACTCGCTAAAATTTTCTCTCAGAATTTTCACCAACACATGTAGTTGACCATGTGCATATTCCCCTCTCCCCCACAGAAAAGTTTTTTCTCAGACCTTTCAATTTAGTGGATATACTCCCGAATCAGAACCAGTATATTGGAAGAATTGTGCGGAAAAAGTTCAAGGCTCGTAAAAACAAGAGAAAAATGCAAGGACTCGACGGGTTGCTGTTGCCGCTAGCAGGAGGACTGCTAGCGGGGGCGTTGCTGGGATCTATATTCGATTGAAATAATTATGATTATGTTCGTGAAGTGAAGTAGTGTGATTTTGTAAACTTTCTGTACTGGGAATTTGAGAATTGTAGTAGTTAAGTTACTCTCGTTATGATGACGATGATGTTGTTGTTGTGTTTTGTGAATAGGAGTAGTGAAATGAGGAATATGGAGTTGTGGTGATACAGTGTTGTTTCACGACTAACCGTTTTACGACGTGAAGTGGCGTCGTAAAACTCGGTGAAAAACTGGGCGATATTCGCCCTATGTAGTAGTCTATTTCATATCAATGTTAGCAGCCCATCGTCGATTCGGCTACTCCAATACGACCGCAACTTTCAAACTGTTGAGGTAACAATTTCGAGAGTAGGGGAGAATGGTTTCACCTGTGATGTTAAAAAGACTGAGGGAAAAATTCAGTTCCTTTCAAAAATCAATTACTATACAGTTCGAAACTATAGACGCTTTGATGACTGTAATTCTTCAACACATACGCCCAATGCTGTGGTAAGTTCACACAAGCAAGATAGGAAAGTAGATAAGTTGTAATAACATTGGAATGGAAAGAGATAAGACTACAGCTTAAAGGCTTAATACAGCTTAGCTCGAACCGATCAGTATGATATAACTAATATATCGATTACCATGGCGAGCGCGATTCTCATCATATCACAAAGCCGTAGTAAGACTTTACGTCGGGCAACACCTCTGCATTCAGCGAACCTTCAAGAGCTCAAAAAGGAACTAGTTGGCGAAATGTGAGCAGTGAAATTGGCTGATTCGTTGGGCAAACTTCACCTTCATACCGCGTTTTTTTCACACATACAGTATTACATCAGTTCGTGAAAAAATTCACGGGAAATAACAAGATTAAATAGAGAGAAAATCAACTGATGTTAATATTGATGTCATTTTTTCAGACCGGCTGTGTGCTTGTCGCAGACCTGTAGGAGCATGAGCACTAAGGCTGTGTCGCCGATACCATTCGCTGTCTTTGGCGGCGAATCTATGATGATGGTTACTCCACATTTGGTGAGTTACGCTGGTTTGCAGGTTGCCTCGTTGTGGACGATTATTGTGCTTTAAAAACGGGGAATTTTTTCCGCTGTGGGTGACTGATCGATTCCTTGAAATATGTAATCGCTTTCCTCAGCTACTGAGCTCAGGAGTTTCCTATACAGTGTTGGAGTAGGAATATATGTAATCGCTTTCCTCAGCTACTGAGCTCAGGAGTTTCCTATACAGTGTTGGAGTAGGAATATATGTAATCGCTTTCCTCAGCTGCTGAGCTCAGGAGTTTCCTATACAGTGTTGGAGTAGGAATATATGTAATCGCTTTCCTCAGCTGCTGAGCTCAGGAGTTTCCTATACAGTGTTGGAGTAGGAATATATGTGATCGCTTTCCTCAGCTGCTGAGCTCAGGAGTTTCCTATACAGTGTTGGAGTAGGAATATATGTAATCGCTTTCCTCAGCTGCTGAGCTCAGGAGTTTCCTATACAGTGTTGGAGTAGGAATATATGTAATCGCTTTCCTCAGCTACTGAGCTCAGGAGTTTCCTATACAGTGTTGGAGTAGGAATATATGTAATCGCTTTCCTCAGCTGCTGAGCTCAGGAGTTTCCTATACAGTGTTGGAGTAGGAATATATGTGATCGCTTTCCTCAGCTGCTGAGCTCAGGAGTTTCCTCACTTACATGGAAATTCGGGTAGAAGTGTCCAGGAATCATTAAAGATTGCCTATAGTTTCCAATCTGTAGTTCACCATGTGCATATATTCCCGCAGTAATTGTAGATGAAATTTTCAGGCTGAAGTCGTGAATAATGGAGTTGATATGCAAGTGGTGAAGCCTGGCAATGTGACATTCTACTTTATGAAAAAAACCACCGCTGAAGCGAAGACTTCACCCGATGCCAAACGTAAGTTTCTGAGTACACTGTACGTAATCGTTGAGATAGGCTTCGACAAGAACTCCCTGGTTGGCCAGACTCTTCGTGCGGGAGAAATTGGGGAACTCATTGGGTCTTCATGTGAGGAGGTGAAGATTAATGACAAGTGGAATTCTGAAGTGAGATAGCCGCATTGCTGTTGTGGGTGAGAATCGCCTCAGAACTGTCTGGTCGTGGAGAAGGGTGTTAGCGAGGTGCATCATCACGAAGTCCGACGATTCACTATTCAAAAAGTGAGGAAGGTGTGGTATGAATAGTAGAGTTCCATCCGAGATGTGAAAAACACGTTTCATATTCTACTCGAAACGAATATATACAATGAATTGAATATTGAATTGACAATGAAAATATTGTAATAAAAATATGTCCATTTTTTGTGCACACGTGTTGGTGACGATATGAGAATTCTGAGAAAGTTCTGGTTGGTTCTTGCACGACGTTATAGGAATTAAGAAAATCCCTGAGCTCAGCTGAGGAAAGCGAACAATTATTGCTATACATGGCGAATTACTAGTGAGAAGAACATTGGTAACTTACCTTCATTGGAGTTTGACAATCCGTTTTACGTGTAGTGAAAAACGCGATATTTGCGGTGATATGCAGTAGTCGTGAAATATATTCT